TGATTTGGGCTTTTGGATCCTACTGGAGACTAGTGTGGGACACTGGTGCTGGCTCCCCTTTGTGTTGGCATTGAGCCTGCAGCAGGCTATGTCTCCTGGGCTATGATAATAACTTCCTAATTGGCCAGGTCTGCCCCTTTGCAATACCAGTGTGTGTACAGGCCCTGCAGTAGCATTTAAAATGCAAATATGATCATGCTAGTGCCTTGCTGGGTAAACTCAAGCCCCAGGCTCCTGATGCCCACATCATGACCCTTGTAACTTCTCAGTTTTTCTGTTGGAACACAGTTGTGCCACTGCATTTGCTCGGAGTTTGCAGATCTCCGTTTCTTCTCTCTATTCTGAATGCACGTGCTCCTTTTTCTTAGCAGTCTCTTTACTCAGCACATCCCTGAAACATGGCCCATTGACTTTCTGATCCTCACTGATTTTCTGGCCTGGTCCTTGCTGAGTGTCTTCCGTGGCCTGTGCACTTTTCCTGATGTGTTCTATTTATAGACTATTCCATGTCCTTCCTCACACACTGAGAACATCTGGCTCACCGTGAGACTGGATTCTTTATCTCTGCATGGATGTGCTGTGGGTGGGGAAGCTTTTGGCTTACGTGCTGAACTTGTCTTCAGCAAAGGACTCTAGGTGCTTAGGTCAATTTAGGTAAGTGTGTGTACTTCAAGTCCATGGAGAGTCCTCAGATTTTTCAGGAGCTTCTGGCTCTTTCTATTTCAAAGTCATAATGGCTGTGATTTGGAGCAGTTAAGGAAATGGTGGTAGCAATAGTGACATCCATGCATGGTCTTTCTATAAGTTCTTTATTACAAGGAAACCTCATATGTCATCACCACAAATTTAATTATGTTTTTACTGAAACTAACGATGTTACAGTTTGTGTGGTTGCCCTGTTGCAACCAAATGTCATTCAGAAAAATTTGATATTCATAAGGCAGGAAAGTGTACCCCTTTTGGTATGACTGCTTTCCTTATTTTTTAGATATATAAATGCCATAAACATGGAGAAGCATATCGTAAGAGGATATTGCCAGCTGGATAAAACAAAGCTGCTATTTATTTTTAGTCTGTAAACACCATCAGTTTTAGAGGATGAACAGCTATGCTTTTACCTGGAAGCTTATGAAACTCTGAACTCAGTATTCCTCATTTTTTTTATGACCTTGCTCATCCGTATGATTATAGTGTGGTTTAACTTTGGATTATGTATCTGCAGCAGAAGTTAAAGATGCCCAGTGCCTGCTTCCTGTCTGAAAGCCAGCTCTGTGTCATCTCTCGCAGGAGGACTAGGCCTGGGCGGAATGCTTCCTCTCTCTGTTCACTTCAACCTTAGAGGATGTGAGATCCATGAAGAGATTGGTGTTCTTGAAATGTGACTTTATTGAGCATAGTGATATCACGGCTAATACACCTGCCTTGTAGATACCGAGTGTAATTCACAGTGCTTGGTTCTCAACAGTGCCTGCAATTGCATATCACCCCAGAAGGATTTAAGATCCACGAGACTGTGTTGTCAGAATCAGTGCATTCTAGACACTTGTCACAGTGTAGTAGATGATAATCTATGGATGGATCCCTTTGGGACTTGAACTTCTTCTGATCCAAACCTGGATCTGCATGGTCTGATTCTGGTGGTTTACATGTATGTGCTGGCTGTTTTCCCATTAAATTAAGGACTTCATTGCTGTTGAAGAAATACTGGACATTGGTCATGTGTGTAATGTGGTTTTTTATTTTACATTTTGTTTTTATTTACTTTAAAGTCAAAAATATAGTCAGAGAGGGAGAGCTAGAGAGATGATCCATCTGGTCTACCATGTAGGAGACAGGGGCCCAAGTACTCAGACCATCATCTGTTTCTTCCCGCTTCCAAGGTTCATTAGCAGGAAACTGGATCAGAAGAGTAGTAACTGAGACTCTAGGACTCAAATCTGCACTCCAATACTCAATGCAAGCAGCAGCTTGCTGTGCTATACCACAACACTGGTCTCAGAGACTAGTGTTCTGCAGCTTGATATTTTCCTGGTTCCCTGAAATCGCTGTCAGGGCAAAGACCAGTTGTAGCATTCATGACAAAGAAAGTGCTGGGCCACATCTCTGATAGTTTAAGATTGTCTGTCTGTGTGTGTGTGTGTGTGTGTGTGTGTATGTAGGGGTGTCAGGACGAACACTGCAATCACTCCCATTTCATGTGAGCTTCCTTTCATGATACTCTTGTGTGTTCTCAGCAGTGTGGGCCTGAGCCTCTTCTAAAACAATTTTCCCCTTTCTTTAAAAAGTAGCATTTACAGAGCTCACCCTGAAGCTGTGCCTGTCAAGGGTCATGTTGTTGTTGTGTGTGAAAGGCATGTTTTCTTGTCCTGACGCTTTAGGCTGTACTGTGTCCTGAAATTTAGAGCCATCTTTCCCATTTTCCTTTTTGGTTTGGGCAGTGGGGTATGCATTGGGTAAACTCATGGTCTCCTTCCTGATTTTGCTTAAAACCAAGCTTGGGCGGCCAAGGGAAGGAGTGAGTTGGGAAGACTGTTCAGAAATTGGCACTCTGGCGGAAAGAAAAACATCTCATACTTCTCCAATCCACAAAATGGATGTTTATCCAGCGGGGAGTGGGGTGAGCCTTTACTGCACACTCGAGTATCTGTAGCCTGTTTGATCTAGGTGTTTAAAAAAAAAAATTGGAGTGTCCTGGGAAAGATGAAGTATGGTGGGCCAAAGAGTGGAGGCATAGAGAAGCCACTGTTTTCAGCTCACACTCACAGATTCTGAAATTTGAGTCAGCAGACTGGGACGTGGGTCAGAAGATTCAAAGTTCCAGGCTTTGTCCTGGGTTTGCCAACTGGGTGACGGGGCAGGTCATGCTCAGCCCCTCTCAGCCCACTTTTCTTCCCTGTCCATGGGGATGTCAGCACTGATGCCTTGGAATGGGGGTGTGACCTAAATCAGGCCCACACCAGGAAAGACATGCCAATCTATGAGAATGTTTTCTGAGAGTCTATACGTCTTGCCTCCTCTCTGATGTCAGGTTCATCGAGCTCAAAAATTAAAACCGCTTCTTGCTGTGCATGCTTTTTTTTTTTCGTTGTGCTGGTACAAAGTTTAGGATCAAATCAAATTTTCAGGATATGCTTAGTGCAGTTCTCATGACCTTCGTTTTGTGTGATAGCCCCTTATCTACCATGTGCCTTGTATTTCCTAATATGTGGTCTCTGGCTGTGTTATATGTAACTGGTTACAACCAACTCAAAATTATTTTTAAAGCAAGTTACTCAATGGAGAATTAACCTAGCAAATAAATTATGCTGCACCAGTTTGCATTCTGTTCCTTTGGGATTGAGGGTAAGAATGGATGACAAAACTCTCTCTAGAGAGATGTTTGAGCTCTGTTATTAGCTCCTTAAAGTCAGTCCAACTATGAACAAGAATCTGTTTCAAAGAACCCAAATTGAGGGTGGGAGTGGAGTTGAATTTTGTTGGCTACTTGATTAAAAATAACCTAAACTTCTTGGCTGAAACTGATTATAGTTGGAAGTTTCTAGAGGAAAAATGCCCTGAATGAAACAAACCTTGTGTTGAAATTATTTCAGGCATTTCCATATGTTACTGAAGTGTGTTCACAGAAAGTATTTTATTGCTTTGGGGAAGATTCTTGTATAGGTGTATTTCGTGTTATCCTTTAGGGTGTCCTGGTTTGGGGCAGTGTTCTGGGTTACATCCAGAAAAGGGAAATAGAGACAGGGCCCTGTGGATTGATATTAATATTTTGAGCAGCATTTATATTTTCTCATAATTTTGCTTTTTTTGAATTGTGCGTGATGCCGAATGATTTCCTCTTTCACATGTCTGATTTCATTGTTGCTTGAGTTAAGACTAGTTGTCTTTATGAATCCTTTCATTAGTTTATGTACCCATTGTTTAAATGAAGAGCTTTCTAGTACAAATTGCTGTTCTGCAAACAGTTAATGAATTGATAATTTTGTAGAAAATTGTTAGTTGGTTCTGAGACCCAAGTTACATTTTTCTTAAGGTTGTTTTCATCTTCTGGAAAAAGAGTGACAGGAAAGAGAGAGGTCTTTTATTTACTGGTTCACTCCACAAATACCTAATATAGGCAGGGCTGGGTTAACCTTAAGCCAGGCGCGTCAAACTCCATTTGTGTTTACTGTATGGGTAGAAGGGACCCAAGCTTTTGAACCATCATTTGTTGACTTCCTGGATGCATTAGCAAGAAGCTGGGTCAAAGTGGAATAGCTAGGACCTGAACAGGCACCTCAAGGTGCTAGAACATAGCACCTGCTCTTTAGTTCATTTCTATCTCTTGATCAATATTAAATCTATGTCTTGGGGAGCAATTTGTCTTCCTGCCTACCTGAAGACTAAAAGAGTATAAGTTAATATACATATTGCTACTGAGTTACTTTACTTGCTTATTTGTTTATCTAGCTATTTTTTTAACTCATATTGTTTCTATGTGGCCAGTACAAACATTCCAGCCAAAGCTAAATAAGTAGGTGTACTGCTCAAGTGTGAGCATTCGACCTACTCGTGAAGACGCCTATTAGAATTCTTGTATCTGGTATCCCAGTGCCTGGGTTTGCATCTTTGTGCTGGATCCTAATTCCAGATTCCTGCCAGGCCACAGCTTGGGGGACAGCAGTAACGGCTCAAGCGATTGTATTCTTGCCATTTATGTGGGAGACTCAGACTTAGTTCTTACCTCCTGATTTCAGGACCAGCCCACCTCCTGCTGTTGTAGGCATTTGGGAAATGAAATAGCAGGTGAATCTCTCTGTGTATGTCTTTGCTGCTTGAAAAAATAAATGAAAATAAATAAGAAAGAAGTATACATCATAGTTATGGTATATTGTTCATTTTAGCTTTGTGAATTTATTCTTCAGAGCTCATGTGAACTACTTGCCAAAAAAGCCTCTAATGTTTATAATGCTGTGCTAATGAATTTGTGAATGTAATACAGTAAAATTTATTTTCTTTTTCAGTTCTGTCGGGAGGACCATTGCCTCAGGGGCATGAATTTGAGTTGTATGAAGTTAGATTTCACTGGGGAAGAGAAAACCAGCGCGGTTCTGAGCACACGGTTAATTTCAAAGCTTTTCCCATGGAGGTAAAATGATGAATCATCTTTTAAAAATTTTGCTGTCTAAGTAAAGTGTTTAGTGATTTACCTTTTTGGGTTTAGTTTAAAAGTTGATGAATAGCTCTTAAATTTTGTCAATTTATATGAAGATTAAAATGAAGTCGTTTATGTAAATGTAAGCTTGGGGCACCCTTTGAAGCTTCCGTTCAATGAGCTTGGAATGTGCACATGAGCAATTGGCCATAAAGGCAATCTACATGATTAAGCTTCCTCTTTACTCTTATGAGTGTTGTAAAATTCTGCTGCTTATGCAGAGTCAGTAGGTGCTGTGAATAGGTGATGAGCAGGAAGTTAATAACTTTTGGAGAAATCTCAGTAGTGATAGAAATCATTTAACATTGGCAGGGTGGTTGTATTCATCCTGAACCACTTGGTGAAAAGAGAGATTTTGAGTTACTCTTGGGGCTCTCCTGCTCTGTTCCTTCTCCGGTCAGTTGAAATCTAGGTCTCCTTTGGGACTTTTCCCAAGTTCTTTCTCCAGATGGCATATATTTGTCCCTCTCTGTGTTCCCAGCATACTTGCTATGTGTCTGTCATGGCAATGATCCCACAGATGGACTTTTCCTGACCAATGGGTATTTCTCATGGATTATGGGCTATGGAAGACAGGGTCTACCTCTCATTGTACTATTTACTCCTGTCACTCAGTCCATTGCCAGGCATACTGTGGATAAACAATCAGTTCTGGTATAGTACAGGGGATGTCTCTGGTTGCATAGGTCTCATTTATGCCTCTTTCCATAAAGAACCTAAGGTTTTCTAGAAAGTCACACTTCTGGGAAGTGTCAAGTGTACTAATGGGAACAACTGGAGAATGTTGGTCCTCTGTCTTCTGCCATTAGCATCCCCACGTATTTACTGAATGTTAAATAAAGAATTGGTCATGCTTGGAGCTCACACCTGGTACTGTTGTGGTGACTGGAAATCATGACTGATTACTTTATATGAATAAAGTCATGGGAAAAGTCAAACTAAGATAGGTTGAAAAGACTAGGATTTTAAAAGGCTTAGTGGGGAAATCTTCATGCCTTGGCTTTCGAGATACTGTTTTCTTGATACTTGGAGACATTCTCTCATTTACTGCATTGAAGCAATTCTGTGTCACCCTGGCTACTGCCTCTTTCATAGTGATCTTGAGAATGAAGAGTTTACCCGAGAATGGCTGCACGAGAGGACACGAACTTGAAAGGTGGTGAGCAAGGGGAAATCAGACCAAGTTCTGGATTGACAGGCCTCAGCCCCGTGTATTTTTAGGTTTAAAATGCCATTTTGTTGATGTGTCTCAGTTGATTTCCACAAACACTCGAGTAACTGAAAGTTTCACAGAGTGGTGCGCATAACGATTTGGTCAAGAGCTTCTGGACAACACTCTGTGGCTGTGCTGGTGACACACAGGACTTCCAGCCCCGGGGAGGTTTAATTGCACCTGAGAAGTCTGTTGTCTGAGTTTACATAGAATACTCTTCAAATGCATAGACTGGTCTGGCTGCACAGTGGTGTTTCACTGGCCATAGTCCATTAAAGACACACACTAGTTTGTTTCTACAGGAGACTAAATTCTGGTCGTTAAGGTTCTGTTTCTGCAGAAATAGAAATATTTAAGAGGATGGAATTACTGAGTGTAATTTCCTCCAAATAAGTGGTGAATGATACTTTGTTATCCCAGATTATCCCTGATCTAGTCCCAGTGAGCAAAAGCCCAGGAGCCCTCCTACGTTTGCCTAAGCTTAATGATGCTTAATGATGTGGGTGTGCAGTGTTAGAGGGAGGACGTTGTCCACCTTGTTTTGTGTGTGTGTGTGTGTGTGTGTGTGTGTGTGTGTGTGTGTGTGTGTGTTGAGGGAAGTTGTGGCTACTGAGCTGGGTTTTAAGGAGGGGAGTGCTGTTATAGTACAAAGGTACAGGAGACAGGTCTCCATGCAAGAAATGGTGCAGACTTCGATGAATGATGTACTGTGAGTCCCTGGTTGTGCACTGTCACCAAATGCTTTCTTGAACTGCCTCAGACAGGAGTTCATGGCCACTGAGACCGAGCACAGTAAGGGCACCCTTTTGGACACATGATTTTTGTTGTCATTGTTTTTCTTTTGAGGACAAATACTCCATACATGAGGATGTTCATTTTCATTTTTTTTCACATTGTAAACTAACTCTAACATTAGTTTTACTATATACATGCACCTGTTTCATTTTGTTGATCTTACTTACAATTAAATGCATGGTTTGTTAAGCAAACACCATAAATAAATATTTAATGTTTCTGTTGCCTGATAGTACACAGGAGTGGCTTTCTACAGAAATTAATTGATCCTTATCTCTTGACTTTTTAAAAATGGTAAATATGTGTATAGCAACATCCTTGAAGACTTGTTTGATGTTACAGTAGCATCAACCCTACTTTAAAAATGAACACAATCTGTGATGTTATAATAATGTCTTTCCATAAGCAGAGTGGATAAGTCATTGCCATTTGTTTTTTCCCTCCGGAGGACTTTTCTTTTCCAAAAAAAAGCACGTGCTTCCACAGCCACCTAATACTTCTCACCATGCTATCATCTTATGAACCTGGACTCTTGGGGCCAGTGTTGTGGTGCAAGTAGGTTAAGCTGCCACTTATGACACTGGCACCACATATGGGCATGTTAGTTTGAGTCTGGCTATTGTACCTTTGATCTCACTTTTTTTCTAATTGGAAAGCAGTGGGTAATGGCCAAAAACGTGGGAACATGCCAGCCATGTGGGAGGCCTGGATGGAAGTTCTGTCTCCTGATTTGGTTTTGGCTCAGTTCTGGCTGATGTGGTCATTTGGGGTTGGTAAACTAGTGGATGAAAGAGTCTCTCTTCATTGCAAATAATTAATTAATTAGCTAAATAAATCTTAGTAAAAATCAATGCTGAATTCTACTATGAATACTCCGGTTTGTGCATAAATGCTGGTTCCTTAGCAAAAAAATAAGTAGTGGCGCTCCACTTTCCTACTGTTATTTGAAAACGTAATAGATACCCACATTTCCAATATTCACTGTATTCTTTGAGAGACCTAGATTGAGTTTAGAATTTGGAATGCTTTTATTTAGTGTGTGTGTGTGTGTGCTACATTGTGTTATTTCATCAATACATTAACAATAGTAGAATGTTGTGGATTTGAGAAGTTTGAGATCCACTAAAGTTTTATTTATTTATTTATTTTTGTTCTGGCCAATGTGAGAACCTTTGATCTTGGACATCAGATGGATTAACTCATGAAGCCCTACTTAAATGCTACATGAGCTTTTCCATTTTGCTCGTGTGAACTGTGCATCTACTGTGCCATTGCAGTTATTGACTCCAATTTTGTTTTATACATCTGGGGTTCTTGGTTTAAGTTATAAGTTGACATTCTGTTTTCAGTCTACGTATCCTATTTGCATAGTTTTTTCCTGAGGACATCATCTTGTTTTGTTGTTTCACAGTAGCCTGCTTCTTAGTCTATATAATTATTGGTGAATTGTGATTGATATTTATGCATAATTACCTACTCTCATAATTCTTTTTTTTCTTCTGCTTTGTTTTTAATTTTATGATACAATTCCATAGGTTCTGGGATTTCACCTACTCCCTTCCAAATTTTTTCCCCTTCACTGATTTCCTTCATATTGTATTATGTCCTTCATAAGCAGTCATAAGTCCATCATTCTGTTATTTAAGCATCCTGACATTGTGGGAAAGGATGATGGCAGAAAATCCAGCATCCTATTGTCAAAATATATCCAACAGTTTCATTGGGAGTCCATCTTTGATTTGGAAGTAGAGATGCATACTACGTTGTATCTTCACATCTGGATATGATAATCTTTATTTCACAGTTACTATACACTGATGTAAATGAAAAGCCATAAAACAAAATCAATAATAGGAATCTCATAATTCTTAGAGAGTGCATTCAAAGCATTTAGATTTTATGCTGGATCAATAAAGTAAAATTTTATTTGGTTTTGTTTAAGCTTTACTTTGTGTTTTTGAAAGAGTGACAAAACCAGAGATCTTCCATTTAATGTTTCTCTTCAGAAAAGGCTGCAATGGATGTGGCTGAGTCACGTGGGTGGCAGAATCCCATTACTTGAGCCATCTTCCACTGCTTTCCCAGATTTATACACAGGGAGCTTAATTGAAAGCAGAGTAACAGGGACTTGAGTCAGCCTTTCGATATGGGATGCTTGTGTTACAGAAAATGGCTTAACCAGCTGAACCACAATGCTCAACCAAAGATAAAATTTTAAAAATTACTGGGGAGACCAACCACATCATCAAGTTTTTTTTAAAAAAAGATATATTTATTTTTATTGGAAAGGCAGATTTACAGAGACTAGGAGAGAAAGATCTTCTATCCAAAGGTTCACTCCCCAAGCAGCCTCAGTGGCAGGAGTTGAGCCAATCCAGAGGCATCAGCCAGGAGCCTCTTCTGGGTCTCCCATGTGGTTTCAGGGTCCCAAAGCTTTGGGCCGACCTTATTGCTTTCCCAGGCCACAAGCAGGGAGCTGGATGGGAAGTGGAGCTGTCGGGATTAGAACTGGTGCCCATATGGATTCCTGGCGTGTTCAAGGTGAGGACTTTAGTTGCTAGGCTATCATGCTGGGCCCCATCATCAAGTTTTAATGTTTCTACATACAAACATTACATTATTTTCTATTCATGAACATCTCAGGAGCCGTATGTAGACAGGGCCTGATCTCAGAATAAATCCCCAATGATGAAGCCTTCAAAAACTCACTGCGTGTCTCATCTTACTGTAGATGTATGATTGTGTTGTCATGGACGGACACACATCCTGCCACACACCAACAGACACCAAGTGTGGGAAGAGACTTTACTTCTCTTGGGGCCTAAAAGTCCGGATTTCAGCTTGAATCACCCACAATGAGAGCCATTTGCATTGTAGAGTAGGCCCTTATCTTTATTTATATTATATTTATAGTGCAGCCATTTCT